TTTTGTTGAAAATAAAGTCTTAAATCTTTTTATTCCACAATAGTGTTTCAATCATCACTACTGTTCATAGCCTCTCATGAATCATGCTGTTGATAGTTCTGGACATGAAGTAATTGTGTTTTAGAAGTGGTTGTTTAAAAAGGAGCATTTTGCTCTTTTTTGGTTGTTGTTTTTTTCCAGGTCACTCTCCCTAGCTACACTACCACCCCTTCTCCTAAAATTCACTGACCCATCCTGAATTGCCAACCATCACAAGGAATTACTGCCCCAAAAGGAAGATAAGAAAAGAATCAACGAATGATAACAAAAAAGCAACCCCGTCTCTCTTTTTTCTTGTCCTCCTAGCTCGGGATCCCGGAGTTTTGAAACTGTTTCGTCCCCTATTATCCCAACTCAATTGCCTTTAGGAAGAAAGGAGAACAAGTGAATAGAAGGAAAGCTTGGATGAACAGAGTCTTGGCAAGATTCTTTCAAGAACATTTTCTTGTTCCCAGATCATTGGCAGGAAGGGTATTTGGTTGCTGGGTGATGTGTAGGTTGTAGTGATGAAGTAATTGATAATGCACAATGCCAGACGTTAGAAGTGGTTGCCTTTTGGCACAGTTTTGTAACTCTGAATTCTTGAATAGATGTCTTATTGTCAAAATTGATGAGTGGGTTGCACATCAAAATATTCACTAGAGTTTTCAAAATTTAAATCTTGTTTCCATGGAAACATATTTTGTCCTTTCTTGAAATCTATAGCACATATTTCAATGAAAATCCTGTCTTTTTCATAAAGTTTGTGCAGAACTGCCAACAGGGACGTGTTTGGTGATTTGCATTGTTAGCAATTGAAAGTTCTGTTTTTGTAAACAAATTGACTTGAGTTTAGAAAACTTTTTTTTTATAATAAACATTTATTACTGGCTATCTTTAGATCTTTTCTTTCAGAGAAAAGCGTTATAACCTGCTGGTGCTGTTTCAGGTTTCAGGGGGCGGGGATTTTGAAATAATTGATTAACAGATTTATCCCCATTTTCCCTACACTCAGCCTTAAAGCTGTCCACTGCCCCATAATGTAATTGATAGCGACCAAATAGGAGCTTGTCAGAGGAGCCTTTGTAAATGGGATTCCCCTATTGTCCAATGTTGGACACAGCAGAACAAATAACACATGATTGGAGAATGAAGCTAGCTACCTAGTCCACCACTGAGTTGAGCTATAGGAATCCTTGAGGAATCTCCGGGCCTATTCAAATCACAAGTTAAGTCCCTCTATTAGGATTAGTGTTAGATCCAAATGCATCAGGTTGGAGGAGAAGGGAACGTGTTATAACTCTGTCATGAGCAGTCTTGGAACTCAGTTGGGCAGTGAATAGTGCATTGATCAGATCTAACATTGATGTGTCGATGTCTCATTGGAAATACTGTGAACAATACACCCCTAGGAACATACTGGATCTTAATTGATGGAAATTGTGGATGAAGATAAAAATCAAATTTAACGGAGACAGATCAGTGTGTAGTCCAGTGCGTAAGTACATTGCCAATTTTTTTACAGTCACAGAACTGGGCTCTTCTGTACAAAATGTGCAGAATATTGGCCTGGAAATGATTTACATGTACATGTATGAAATTACACGTAAAGAAAAAAATCAAAGCGTGGATCATTATTAGAGCTAGTTCTTGCTTTCAGCATTGTATGAAATCACTCAGGTACACCTGCAGGTACAGGTGCATGAAATAATTAACTTCAGCAGGTAGATATCAGTGTTGTAGGTTTTGAGACCTGGTCTCGGTCTCGAGACCATCCCGAGACCTTTTCTTGCGGTCTCGATCTCGCCCTGTTAAAGCCTCGGTCTTGGGAGGGCCGGTCTCGGTCTCGAAAGTGGCGGTCTTGGTCTTGGTCTCGGATGCCATAGTCTCCCCCTCGAGACCAGTTGAGACCATAACAAAATCTAGCTACAATGCACACACGTGGTTGCAAAAGGTAAAATAACCTCCGCTCGAGTCAAATCTTCAACCACTGATATAAATACAACACAGTAATGTTCAGATTTGTTTTGCAATGAACAATTAAATCGATGCTTGAATGAAGACTAGTCAATGCAGCATGATGCATTGTCCCAACTTGTCCCAAGTTGTTACTTTATTTCCAATCCAGAGTAGCCATGCTGCTTGACACCATGGAGATGAGGTTGTGAGTAGCGCAATTCGCACATTAGACTGGTTCCCGTTCCCTTCGTAGTCTCCTGCTGAACGTAGGACCGGGACGGGAACCAGTTTGTGTGTGTGCGCACGCTATGAATTGTGTGCATATGTGAAAGTGCTTTCATTCCATCTTGTATGTGGAACGTGTTCTCTTAGTACTTTTGTTACGGTACATCTTTTTTGATTTTGGTTTTTCAGTATTTTGCTTACAAAAAACAGTCTAAGGATATTTGTTTCAATGTTCAAATCATATCATTTGGGACACTTGGGTTGAAAATGACCAGACCAGGGTAAAAGTAGAGCAGTATCACTGATAAAGGAACTGAGACATTCTTTAACAAATATTTGACCGATTTGTGTGTGTGTGTTTATGCTAATGTTTTCATTTTATTTCTGTTATACTTAATTGTACTGCCATACATGTATGTTTGTCCCTATTTACCTTTTGGTAAAAACTAAACATTGGTTTATGGTTGGTCTCAGTGTCGGATGTCCTTGTCTCAGTCTTGGTTTAGACCTTCAAAAGTCTGTCTCGAAGTCCTGGTCTAGGTCTTGAAGGGGTAAGTTTCGGTCTTGGTCTCGGTTTCGCATGCCTTGGTCTCAGTCTAGGTCTCGGACATCAAGGTCTCGGATATCGGATACAACACTGGTAGATATATGGTACATGTACATTACCTGTTCTTAAAAATCACTGTGTCTAAAACCTTGATGTAAATGATAAAACTAACATTATTCCAATCTTGTTCAACACAAGTTGATGCATGAGCCCCGAGCTGGATCAAGAGAGGGTACAATTTTCCCAGCAATGCAGGCTTTTTTGGTGGGAACGTCACTGGTTCACAATCGACTGTGAAATACATGCATTGCGGTTGTGATGCTACCAACAACATGAAAACTCCCACAAACATGGCTCTTTTCAACCAATGAGGGGGTGCTTCTGCATAAAACAGATTGGATCAAGTACCGTAATGCTGGTTATTGACAGAGATTTGATAAGTACGGATCAGCTGACTGTATCATAATCATTCCTTTCTCAAACTTAGGTAAAAACTTAGGTATAATACTCTGTAGCATCGATGCTAGAGACATACATGAACAGTGTCGGGAAAAAAAACAGGTACCTGCAGGAGGCAAGTTGTAAGAAACCCTCTCTCGTTGTGAATCTCATAAAATCTTGTGCACCAGATGTTGCTCTCTACTTAAACAGAGTACAAGTGTCTTTATTGTTCAGAATATCTGTTGTATGATTTAAACATCAACATGTACATCTGCTGTTTTTTTCCCCTGAACTCAGCAAGCATGATTGCCACATGTTTCTGGCAAAATAAGCCAGTTTTAGTAACATTAAAACAGAAGTATCTACATGTCAACGAATATGTCATCTGTGAATAAAATTCCTGTATTACAAATCACTTTGACCTTCCCACTTAGAGTTTTTGCCAACAAGCTCACACGTTTTCACTTGTAATGCATCTTATTTGCGTTTCACATTGTCTGGCATTTCACGTTTTCTGTCAAAGATGCGATGGCAGTCCACTGTGAATACACACAACCCAATCCTAATCCTTCAAGCTGTCTTGTTTACTGTTTGCGCCTCTACTGGACCTCACTAGTCTCTGTTCTTCACCCCCCCCATGCAATCCCTTCTCAGTATACTTCCAGCTACAGCTACCTCCCTTTGTCCTGACTAGATAATAGTTGAACAATCCCCCAAACAATGAGTAGTCCTGGCCTAAAGGAACTTTCAAATTGCTGGAGTGTGAGGACAGTCTTTGGGACAATTCTTGCCTTCCTGTTGGGCTTTAGAGCGATGGACAATGGTCAGTAGTTGCAATGGAGCCAGTAGTGGTGATCGCTGAGTAGATGTGACAGTAAAAGTGAGACAAACACATAGTTTGTTCATTCAGCTCTGGTAGTTGACAGTGTGCACTGAAATATGTGATGGAAACTGTAAACAGCCTAAATTTTAAGCAACACGTAGTTGGTTGGTTGAGTGGTTGACTATTTATTTTCAATACCCAATGGATATAGTCCTTGCTTTTCTGGTGCAAAATATAACTGGTCCATTGCTGATCACAATGGCTTCCTATGGAGCAATCGGATGGCAGATGTTGCACAACAATTGTCAACATACTTACAGGTAGATCTACATTAGAAAATTCTGAATGTTTACATTACTTAAACTGATTTTTGGTCCTTAGTACCCACCTGTTTTCTTTTACCTTTTGGGCACATCCTGTGACCTTATCCATGCATGTCTTTGCTATCTTCTGTGCTGAGTTTTTCCTGGGATTTCATTGTGTGATGAGACCCAACTGAGATAAATGTAGAATAATTTTTGTGAGGAACATTTCACATTCCTCAGATATGAGACGAAGTCTCATATGAGATATGAGACTTTAGAAGTCCAGATGAGCCGGCCATATGCAGTATTCCTCCATGGTTACACCTTCACTGACAAATGAACATGTTAATAGGTACCTGTTCTTGATTCAGTCTTTTTTATGGAGGTCAGGGGTGATTCAGAGGAATGTAATACCAAATCTTCCCACACTTGCCGGTTGTTACTTTCTCTCATTTCTTTTTAAACTGGTTGTGGTTAAGTTGAATCACAATGAACACCGTTAGGCCTACTTTAACTTCATTTGTTGGTCACTCCCCAAATTGATGCTCAGTGGAAGGTGCTCTGAAAAGCAGTATAGTCTCATATTTTGAATGCTCATGTACACAACGAACATCACTTTACAAGAAAGATGAATTTCATATTCCTTTAAAAGTAAAATCAAAATGTTCTCATTTTGTTGCAGGTAATTCTTCATAGCAACATACCTCAAGAGTGTGTGGGTGAATCTGAACAAATCCAATTTGCAGAACTACCCTACCAGCCATTTGTCACCACATTTATCCATGATTGGTGAATGAACTTAAGGTAAGTCCCAAACAGCTGCTTTCACATATAAGGCCTGCAGGTGAAACTTGTTCAACCTGAACATGAGAATAGGAAAGAGTGATTGTGAGAAGTTGAATGAGTCACTGAAAAACTGTAAGATGTGAATGAATTAAACCCTAGCTAGTATGATGAAGAAGTTACACAGTAAGCTAATGGGTCATGGGCTATTCATCAGTAGTAAACCAAGCTAATGTCTACTCAGTTGTTTGGACAAGGAATTTTAGCCAATTTTCTTTGTACATATATATTCATGGTTTACATGCAATAGTGTGTGTCATGTAGCTATTAAAATAAATTAGGAGCTTGTTAAAAATGTATCCTTGTTGATTGCAGGCTGTTGCTAAGGCTAGCTTAAGGGGATGGAATTTAGAAGGACAAGGTGGCTCAAACACAAAGCATTGTTGACTAATATCCCAATAATGCAAGAGGATTATGATTGCTAACCAGCTGCTGCATTCCCCCATTAACACAAACAGGGATCTGCAGGCAGGAATTGTCTCTTAAAGAATTGAGCACAAGAAGGGATGAAACCTTAATACTTGAGACCCAGTCTGATGGGGATGATGATGTAAGGAAGCTTAGTAGTACTATTCAGTTGGAAGATTAAATAAGAAATGAAGGTGGATGGGATCTTAGTCTGAAGGAGGTGGAAAATGAAGGATGCACAGAAAGAGTGGAGAAAAACAAGATTTGGATTGTGGAAATGGGTTGAGTAAGACATCAGTAGTATATTGGAATGTAGAAAGTTAAAACGTACTAGTGATAACTGCAAGGTATGGACAGGGAATGAAAAGCTGTCACTTGACTTGGGAAGGATACTGGTGCATGATGGGAGCATTGGAGAAAGGAGTAAAGCTATAGAATGAGGTAGCACGGTACATGTACCATGTGGTACTGGTAGATCCTGGTGCATTGACAACTAACAGTATGATTACTGCAAGTGCATGTAATGGAAGAATGCGAAGGTGTCACTTTGTCTTGGAAGGATGCTGGCCCAGGTACATGTACCTGTATGATCGAAATATTTCAGAGAATGATGAAGCAGTATGCCTTTGGTAGATTGGTAGTGTGATAACTGTTGTTATATATATGAGAAGGGATGGACGAAGGTGTTGGATGGATCATAGTAGTATAACACAGATGGACAAGCTGTGAGCAGTCCATGTGCTGTACATGTAGAGGGTTGCATTACGACGAGAATACTAACCCAAATGAAGCTGTAATTGTAAGTAGTTAGAGTGAGTGTTTGTCTTTCAGTGATGTAAATAGCTTAAGGAAAAGTGATGAAATGCCGATTGCATTCTTGGTTTCGACTGGTCATTATACATGAATTGAACCATAATTGAGTAAAATGTCTGGTGAAAAACTTGGCACGTTCTTCTGAAATCTTTCTGGCGTCTTTGGCTGGAGTTAAAGACTGACATGTAGAATCCATAAATTGTCCACTGATAGGGTGTCATTCAGTAGCACTAATCACTTGATGTTTTCACTAGTCACCATTTTTCAGTTAAACCTTCTGTTTCTTCCAATACCAGGCCATAAACCTCTCAGGGTACATGTAGGTATCGGTTCCTTGATCTCTTTACAATCGGAGCATATCACCATCAAATATTGGGCGGTAGGAAAAGAGACGGAAGTTGACAGACAAGAAACAGTGATCAACAAGCAATAAACAGGGATGGGGAACAGTTGAGGCTGGTATTGGTGTGTGTGTGTGTGTCAAACATGTCAAAGTGCCACTGCTGAGATGTGGTCTTTGTAATCTAACCCAGTTATGTAAACTGGATGGGTTTGTGGTAGCACCATGGATATATATATCTTTCTTGAGTATGTGGGGTTCTGAAAAGAACCGGTGGTACTCACTGTTTTGGACAGTATGCTCTGTCCGTCGCCGAAACGTTGAGTACCACCAGTTCTTTTCAAACCTCACTGTATCTACATGTAGTTTACTTGCTACCTCCACCATGAAAAACTTCAAATCTCATCTGATAAGTCTTACAATGTACCTTTACCTTAACATGTTCAAGCTTTCTTACTGAGTATACTGTAAGGACATTGTACCCATGTTTATGTCGATCTCTATCTAACACATGTCCATGATACTGAATCTAGCTTTCCATAGTTCTGCAAGAAAGTTTCATGCCAAATTCCCTTCAGAATTTCATGGAAATATACAACAAATTTGGAGAAACCTTCACTCGGCTATGACCTACGATACCTTCTTTGTTCTCAAACTTGAAACATTGAGCCTCTTACATTTAGTTAAAGTAATTTGACTTGACTGTTTTGAATACTTTGCCTCTAGCATAGTTTACTCATGCAGGTCAGCTACAGTGAAACAGTTGCAGAGTTTGCATTTAGTTCAGTGAAGATGTACTTGTAAAAGTGTAATTTGTGGCCATTCTGTAAATTCATTCTCCATGAGTTGAAGTCAGGGAAGATAAAATCAAATTGACATTCGTAATACATGGACCTCATCATGCTCATAGGTTCCCTGTTCAAGGGTTGTGATGTACATGTACAGTATACTTGCTATTATTTACAAAGTGGACAGTCCATATTTCAACCAGTCAACACCATTTAGCAACCATCTGGTCAGTCTTTGCCCCAACACTTGTCAACTTGTATGACAGCTTGAGTGTGTGAATCCAAACCAGACTACTCTGAACACATCTTGCTTCCCTTCTAACTCAAGAATAGAAAAACAACAGGGTGATGTTCCTATAGCATTGGAGTGAATGTGTGGTCATGAAGGGTGAGAGGTGTTAAGACACATGACAGCCCCCATTTGTTAGAATCAGTGGCTATTTCATTGTAAAGTTACTGGTACATGTACTAGTCTTCCTTGTGTTTGGATGCAGACCAGCTACTACATGTATCCTTTTTTTTCTGTGTCACCTTGACACTGACCTCTAAAAGATTTGGGGATTTGTAAATCTAAGGAGTAAATTGACTAATGGAGGAAAATCTTGCTGTGGGATTCCTTGGAAGGGGCTTTATATGCATGGTTTTAGAGAAGGATCATCCAATAAAATTCTGAGACAAGAAGTCAAAGAGCTTTGTGTTTGTCATACGATACTCGGTACATGTACAATGTACGTGTACATGTAGCTTACAATTTACAAACAGTACATAGACATTAGTGCCAGGGGTCTACTGCATGTTGCATCAATGTTGCATCAAGACATTGAGGACTAGAATCCATGTTGCAATGTGTTGTAGGCATGTATGTAACTTCTAATTGAAACAACCACCTTGTGTGCAGTGTTTTAGTTTTGAATGCCACGGCAACTTTGCTTAATGGCTACTCAAAGAGAAATCAATTGAATTCCAGACTTCTTGTGCAGTAATCTCAACCTGCTTCCAATCTGTCATGTCTGCTCGCTGATCCCCAAATCCCTTCCTGGATTCATTTCACATTTCATATTTCACTACTTTCGATACCGGCACAAAAATGTTTTTGTGGGTGTGTATGACTGAAGGAATGCAGCACTGTCCCAGTTTTTAAAAATGCTTCCTTGACATTTTTTTCTTGGATATAGGCCTATGATGTTTGCTAGAGCTCTTGTTTGTTGTGCTCTAAATAAAGCAAAGAGTTCTTGGGTTTCAAGAGAAACATAAGCCTACATGTACATGTAGGTTAATGACACCCTTAAAATCCAGCTAAGGTCCACGGATTCATGTCCCAGGAACATAACTTGTTTAATGGCCATGTAATTGAGTAATACAGTGTATTTCTCTGAAGTACAATCGTTTTATGTAATAAACAGTTAGTTATTACTGTATAGTTCCTCCTTATCATGTTCCAGAGAACAGGTGCACTGGATTGAAAACTAATATCCTAAAAGGTAGTAAATCAGTAAATACAGTACCTCCAAACATCAATGATCAATTAAATTGGCCTGGGAAATACATGTACATGTAAATTTATAGACAACCAAAGCTACGCTGTCCATACTCCAGTAATTCTTGGGCTATTGTAACTGATTGGCAGATTTCACATTTTTTGTTTGTAATCCATTTATATTTGGGGGAAGGATTTTGGGTGGTAACAGGGTACATACCTTATAAGTTCATCACACTGTTAGTTAAAGCACTTGTTATTGGTATGCTAAAAGTATCAGTGCACTTGTTGCGCCAGTTTCTGGTACCTTCATGCACAATGCCACTCTAGGTTATTTTCTCATACAAGGTTTCAGGAATGTTCCCTAGAACATTCTGTAGAATTTGGTTGAATATTTCTTAATTTAAAAAGTGTCTACAGCATTGAACACAGTTTGTAGGAGGGATATTTACACATTGTGGACACAAAAGTAGAAGATTGTTCAATCGTGTGTGCTATACACAGGTCATCATACATTAATTTTCAGCATGTGAAGTTTAATGTCAGACTTCTTTTGATATCTGCACCTTATTTTAATGTTCACTGACGATCGGTGAATGGTTTTGTTTCTCATATCGAAATCAAATTCAAGTGAACATTGGTGCAATGATACATTAACTTGTTAAAAAGCTAAAGTAAACCCCAATTTTTCCTGTCAGTTGTTCTGATTAGGTTTGTTACACGTACAAAGGATTTGACCTTGGTTCCGTGTATCACACCTGCAAGACTTACATTTATGTTTACAAAAGAAATTGATGATGGAATTCTTAGTCTTTCTGTGTCCCATCAAAATTTCTAGCCAATTCAAATTTGTCTTGAAATGTTGTCACTTTCATTAAACAACAAGTTCTTCCTTCTTTCCTTCCTATAAGTCTACCCTACAACTCCTTTTTGTCAGGCCAAGTTCACACCAATCTCACCCTAAACCAAAGCTGACAACCTCACCATTGTAAGGTGACAGAAAGCCGGTAGCTTGAGGCTTGGCCAGATGCACTGATTACTTTCCATTTATTCTTTGTAATCCAACCTGGGGTCTGACAATTTTCAAAATAAAATTACTGCTTGGACTTCTTGCCAGCGAGAAAGAGATCAGAAT